CGACCAAGACGCGCTTGAGTTTGTGATCCGAGATGATGGGATGCGTGCTCCCGTTGACGTACACCGTGACGCCCTCGAACAATCCCCTACCAGCCGCCCTCGTCGCCTCAGCATCCTCGTCCTCCTTCCGCCGAGCTTCCATGACCTCCTCTTCGCTCATCCTTACCAACCCACCCGGTGCTGTAGCAGACGTGCTAGATGTCACGGAGCCGGTCTCAGAGACTGAAGAGCCGCTCCTCATCAGCCCCGGCCGCGCCAGCATGTCCGCCACGCTCATTTTTGCCCTCGCCTTGACGTCCTTGGGCACCACCATCTTCAGCTTCTCGTCAAAGTCCTCGCTGCCAGCGCCGTACGTGTCACTCATGCGGGCACCTCCAGTGTGACCGCCCGAAAACTGCTCCGAGAGCTTGCGGGCGCGGCTGGTTCGCCATCCTGTGCCCGGGACGTGATCCGGGCGTTGATGTCCGGTGGCGCTTGAGTTGTATGGATCGAAGTTGTTGCCGAACCGCGGCTTTGCGGCTGGTGGGATAGGTGTCTTCTCCGGCGAAGGCATTTCGGTTCTGACACACGTGATTGTTTTGGAGCAACAATGTTTCTTTTTCTTTTCTCTTCTGCCCTTTTTGCTTTGCTAGCATAATAGATGTGCCAAACGGCGCTGCAGTGCGAGGCACATGCGCGTTGAGCATGCAATGTCGTTCAGATCCACACAACAAAAACGTAGGGTCATAATGCTGGATTTTGCCTCTAGTGTCTCCGTCAGCAAACAAAGGGGTTATTTTCTGTCGTCAACGATACGCGAATCACGCGGCGCCGCAGGCTAGAGAGTCCCAAGCGCATTTACATCCAAGGTCGATCCAGGCACGTACCGGTCGCGGGGTCACATGATCTTTGTCTCACCGAGAGCCACCGACACCCACCTTGGTCACCTCTGGGGTTTTCATGTTAGTCATCTCTCACTTACACCCAAACTCAAATCACATCTCATCGAAGCTACATGACGGGAAGGTGTAGAGACAGAGACATGCAGTCAAAGCTTCCCGAGTAAGGCGAAGCTAACTCAGGTGCCGTTCCTGGACCGAGAGTTGTCAATGCCAGCTGCTCCGCCTGCCATACTGGCAAATGCAGGAGCTGCAGCAGCGTCGGCGCACCGATGTTTCCCCAGCTTGAATCCCGTCATTCCTCAAATCCCAGAAAGAATGCATGTGCACGTCAGAGTCCCCTTGGAACCTTCTTGTTGCAAGAAAGACCGAACGCTTCGAACCTCAGGGGACCTTTCACCTCACCTTCAACCTCCCCATCTCCTGCAGGTACCGACATCAGGCCTAAACACCGGATCAGACACACCTGGACACACCCTCTTTGCTCTTCACCCTCCCCCAAAACAAGCGACATGTTTCCTTCGCCCACGAGGTTACCCACGAGCCCACGGAGCTGAAATCGGGACGGTCTGAGTGGAAAGGAGGCTGTGAAGAAGGTCATACCTTGCACGATGTTGGAATGATGGGCTGCAGAGGCCCAATCACTCCTCGGCGCCTCTGTCTGACGGCTTTCGGAACGCTCAGTCAGGGGACCATATTGGAGTCTGGGCTCGGCAGATGCGAGTGCGAAAATCAGTTTTGGACCCTTTTGTCCTTGCGTACAACTACGAATATGATGTCGCCGTTATCTACTCGTCGACGAAGTCTCTGACTCAGATGCCGCTCACTTCACACCCCCTTCAATATCCGGTTCAACAGAAGGCTATTTCTATCTTATTGTGGAAATGATATTGAAGATTCCACAGACGTATTGGGTACATACGCCCAAAGAAGACGACATCAGACTTCGACCCTTTGGATCGCCAAACCATATCACCGGGGGCCCTTGGTGCGGCGAAAATTAAAGCCATCCAATCGGCCTAGGACATTGATCGCAGTGGCATCGCATTCCCCCACAGACGCCAGTCATGCACATCACGCCCAGTCATCGGTCGAAGGTTGCACCTTAAAAGGGAGAGAAAGCTTGCACAGCCGGTGTTGGCTGCTTCATATTCGCGCCGTAGCTCCCCCCATACTCCCACATCCGGCGGAGGAGCCAGAGAGGTGACAAGAAACGAGAAGGCGAGAGAGAAAAGCTTGTTATCCAAGCTCCCTCGAAGAAAGGTGCACCTAGCTTCGGGTCTCGAATTGACATGCATCGCCAAACCTGCCGCGCGGCGGGAGGCGGGAAACACCAAACGAAAGGGCCGTCTCATGCGCCCCGGACCTGGCATGGCACACTCTCCAGCTTCGGGGACTCCCATGTCTGCCATATATGCCTCTCCCATGAGGCCACTGCACGCACATGCGCCTGCATTTGCCAATCGACACCAAGAGAATGCAGCTTCCAGGCCCGCTAACCTTCTCTCTCCTCGCCCTCTCCCGATGTTGTCCAGGTCAACCCTTGGAAAGGCGAAGAAAAGAGAAGCCAGGCGGTGCTCCGTCACATGTATAACACACCCATCTTATCATGCCGTACCAGCAGTTCATGCACGATGCCCGCTGCACCGCTGCGCACAGCACTGCGGATACCGCTACCTTACCTCACAACCTACTTTCCGAGCCTCCTCTCTTCCCGCCGCCGTGTTTCGCGGCTAGCCTTGGGCGGGCGGGACAGGGCTGGAGCGAGGTGAGGGAGCATCGATGCGATGCGCCGGGCCCTGCCATGGCGGCCTGGCCTGGCCTGCCGTCTCTCCTGCATCAAACCACCAACATGCCATTTAGTGAAAACTCTCAGAAATGACAAGACGACGACGACAAGTCGCAAAAGTCCCCCGGGAAAAGAAAGCTGGAGTCGCAAAGACGGATGCCGAGGCTTGCTTGCATATTCTGCGCACGCTATACGTGCTGCATTCTTCAACGCTTCGATGCGCAATGATGCACCGCTCTCTTTCTAATACGTAATCATACCTCGGGCAACCGACTACTTCAACGGTTGACCTCGTCATGTCGGAATAAAGGCAAGACAAGACAAGTCACGACACAACGAGACGAGACAGCCTGGTCATACCAACCATTGCAGGGAGGCCACTGGTGCCGGGGTACCCACGAGGAAGCAAGACAGTCTGCGTAGCGAGGTAATAAAAAAAGTCAATCTCGCACCGCCGAGCCCCAAGCTCCCTTTTCCAGCCCGTCTCTCATGTGATATCAATCAGGGACGTCAGGGACGAGCACAGGGGTCGTGAAGGAGGGGGCGAATCGTTTCAAGCGTTCAAGTTCTATCCCGACTTGACGATTCATCCGGTGTCCAAGGTCCAACATGACAGCGCCACTCACAAGTGGACGGCAAGGACACACGAAGTCTGGCGAGAGAGAGAGGCACAGAGGACATCAGCTCGAGCGCGCAAAAAGGTCAAAGGTCCACGTCACGCTCGCTTGACCCCGTCCCTGACAGTTACATGATCTGCCCAGCATGCGCCTGCTTGCTGCGGCCCAGGTGCGCAAGAGCCATTTCACGACACCTGCTCTGTTTCCTGAGGGGGCATCCTCCGTGAGCGAGGACGAGGTTCGCAACACTCCGTACGGATACAGAATCCGTAGTCCGTAGTGCACGTCTAGGCCGCTTGGAAGAGCGAGCGAGAGTTTCCAGGGCTCCTCTGTGATCCGTGATCTCGCCGCCGCCACCCCATGTCTGAGCAGCATGCATACCCGTACGCGCATGCAGGCAATCGTACCCTTTCGCTTTCCGGGGGTGGGAGGGGGGAGGGTGAGGGTGAGGGTGAGGGAGAGCCTGCTGTGGTGTTTTGCTTGCTCTACCTTGCCTTGCCTTGCTTGCCCTGCAAATCAAGACCTTCGGAAGACCTACCTACCTTCCTGGCCTGGCCAAGTCGAGACTGGTCTGTTTACATCTACCTGGCAAATCCTATCCGCCTTCGCTTCGCCTCGCGCGGCCGACCCGGGTCGTGACAAGCGGACGCGACGAGCGAGCGGGGGAAGGATTGTCTCCTCTCTCCTCTTCCCGAATCTCGACGAGAAAGTGGGTATCCTCGAAGAAAAAAAAAAGAGGCCGGCTAGAACCGATCCCGACATCGCCAATAATTGGATTTGGTGCTGTCATTGTTATTGTATGATTCTGCCACCTTCCTGGCTCACACCGGTCGTGTCCCAGACAGAAAGGTTGTGTGTCTCGTCTCGGGAGCTAAATCAAGATAGAGAGAGGTTGAGTGGTAGGGGAGAGGGAAGGACGGCGCGCGCCAGAACATTATACCTCACACCCTCCCGTCCCGGCAAAGAGATAGACGGCGACACACACGGAGAGAGAGAGAGAGAGAGAAAGGCACAAAAAAGACGCACTGATGGCGGAGAGTGAGGTGCCAGAGTGGATGGATGGCTGGGAAGAGGCTTGCTTGGTCTTAGACTGGCGCCCGTCTACCGCTTCTCTACGGTCTACGGATACGTACTCGGGTACTGGGGGGACCCTCCCGTCTCTCTCACTCCCAAAAAGACGTGCGCGGCACACAACGCGAACAAGGGAAGGAGGGCGGCTGTCAGAAGTCTAACTACGCCGAGGTTATCATTGTGTTTTTAGTTGAGTTTAGTTTTTTTTTTTTCTTTCTTTCTCGAGAGCGGCGAGCCGATCGAATGACCCAAACCGGTAGAGTATAGCCGTTCCATGTGGTCCCCGATGGGCAGAAAAATCTCTGTTGGAACAAAGTCAATCTTTGTGGACAAGGAAACCAGAGGCGGGCAAAGGGCAGGGAGAAAGGGCCGGGGGGGGGGGGGCGGCACGGAGGAAAGGGAGGGAAGAACAAGAAGTTCGAGAAACAAAGCCGAAAAAGTTATGCAACAAGGGGATTGTTCCTCAACAATGGACGGGACGACGTTGAAGACGAGACAAGAGAGAGAGACTTGGACATGTGGAAGAAAGGGCAGAAAAAAACAACAGAGACATTTCGTAACGTCGTCCTCTGTCTGTCTTCCTCGCTGTCTGTCACTGTCTCCGTACGTGGTATTCCAAGGCAAGGGCCGTTGCATTGCCTTGCCTTACAGATAGATACATGCTGCTGCTGCTGCTGCTGCTGGATTGCCACCAACGGAGCCAACAGCAGGCGACGGGACACACGTTATGCGAAGCATACTTGCATCCGGAGGGCAGATGGGCTGGAAACCACCACCCAGTCTTTCTCGCCAGTCGTGCCAGTATCCGTATGCCACACACGAAACTTTGCTGCCGCCGCTGTTGTGATCGTCCTAAATCCGGGGGGCGCGTCTACGTTGCCCTTTCTCCTTTCTTTTCCCGTATGCAATGCCCATGTTTCTTCCTTCGGCCACCTGCTTGCTCAACGACTCTGAGACCTTTCTTCCTAGCAGGAGCCTGGAGGAGTCGATGGATAGTCGAGAATACGGTTGCATCGTTCGTATCGCAAGGACCAAGGTAGGTAGGTGATGGTGGTGGCAAAAAAGGCTTCATCAACAAGTGACAACGCCGCCTTCAAACTTTTGGACATCTCTGTGCTTGTTTTTACAGCCTCTTCAGAAGTTCAGCTCTTGTCTAGAAACTAGACTATCCGTAGACTAGCTCCCAGAGGCCCCAAGACGGGAGAACTCCAGAACTTTTTTTCCTAGTTTACATACTCTCTCCGCTTCGGCGAGGATTGCAGACGCGCTATTCTGTCATACTGCGGCATCTCCCTGCACGTACGGTAATCTCTTGTGATTTTTCTGTTTCTTTCCTTCTTGTTCCCGTTTTCCTCTCTTCACCCCCTCCCTTCCCCCACCCGCCATGTAGTGTAGAGTGTACTTCCTCTTGCAAGCAACAAGCTACGGGATACCTAGCGCTTGTAAATCTGACATGTTACCACCCGAGACGCGGCGGCGGCGACGGCGCATCTTTGCCCACGGACGCTGGCGCTGCTGCTCCCACGCACGCGCGCAAGGGGGGGGGGGGACGCGGGTCCCATCCACAACCACTCCTCCCCCCCAGTCCCCAGCCCTCTCTTCTAGCCGCACATGGTATGACACCAAGGTGCTAGGTAAGCCAGGCAGGCAAGGCAGGCAAACGGGCAAGATTTCCCAGATGTTGGGGGCAGGAAATTTGAGCGAGGGCGTGAGAAAAAAGGGAGGGGGAGCAGAAATAAAGTGGAAATGGGGGGGGGGGGGGTTGCGAATGTAACGCGGGCTTGACAGGCGAGGTCTTCCGCCCATCGCCGCCCGCTCCCTTCTCCTCCTCCTTCGTCACTTTTTGTCTGTGTATCCAGTATGTACAGAGTATTAGCGGCCGAACGAGAGAAAAATCTCACGCCAACCTATTGGGGGTACAAGCAATGGCAAGGTTGAGGAAGTTCAAGGAAAGGATGTGCGCACCTGGCGGCCAGTTTTGGCGACCGCACAGAGCCCGGACTTTTATCGCCGTCAATCCACCCGCGACGAGGAGCAATCGGCTGCTGCTGCTGCTGCTGCTGCGGCGGCGCCGGACGCTTGCTTGATCGAGTGGGTTTGGGCTTGACCGGGAGGAGAGATCGGAAGGAGATGCGAAGAAGTGTGTGTACAGAGTAGTATGGACGGATATGTGTATCTGTATGTGTATGCGTGTCCCGGGGGTCGCGGGTCGCGGGTGAGAGGGAGATATTCCCGACAGCATCCAAGATGGGCCGCCGTCCTTCATCTAGACACCTACAGTGTAGATCTGGATGTGTGTCGATGCAGATACCGGCTTCGGCCTGTCTCAAGTGTGCTGGTGGAATGATGTAGATGTAGTCCTTGCCTCTTCAACTAGTAGGTTTGTACGACCGTTGCACACATAACCTGATGCACGCTGTTTTCTCCGTACAGGAGCCGTCGTTGGAAATGCCTCCGTTCCCCGGTGCGCCGATTTATGAAGACGGGAGGACAAACGATGGGTGCCAAGCAAACAAGCAAACTGTATCATGAACGCGCCCAGCTCAGCTCTTTGCACAACGCAGCAGCGCAGGTCAGGCTAGGGCAGGGCTCCCGCGAGCTGCTGCTGCTGTCGTGGACACTAATGTAAGACATGTCGATTTCCCATCAGATCCTCCCACGACACAGATGCGAGGCTACGGGAAGCGCGCAGCTATCCCGACATATGCACAGGACGGAAGGCGGGCGGCGGGGTGAGGCACTGCTGCTCCTCTATGTCTGATGGAGGGAGGGGCCAAAAGCACCCGGGACATGATCCTGGGCCAGGAAAGGTCCCGTCAAGTCCAGCCATAGCCGATCGTGAGAGTACAGACGGACAGGCTACAGCCTACAACAGCCGTGCTCAACCTCTGTCGTCGGATCGTGGATCTTTTTGAGGGGGGGGGGATGCTGGTGGTGTACATACCTGTCCGCCCATGCTTTCCAGGTGCACAACTACCCAGCATATCATGGACAGGGTCAGACGCGTGGTCTTACCGGACTCCGCTGCGGGTGGGCGACATCAAGCAAGGCTCGCATCAGTTAGACGCAGTGTTGATGGCCCATCTCGGACTCGTCAAAAGAGCCTCCTCTCAAGTTTCAACGGTATCAACATACCAAGCATCATCGAGACAAGTTCAACGGTCCAGATGTTAAGAATGCGGGGCTCTTCATAAACAGCGGGCTGTTCGCCGTATGTGGATGTTCCTTCGTCAAAATGTCTCAAATTTCTCATTCTCCAAGCCGAGCCTGGATGGTGAAAGGAGCAGGCAATGGCGGCTTTCGTCAGAAAATAACAGCAACACGACGACTGAGCTGAGCTGAGTGACTGATGACCGATGGGCCTATGATCCGATGGAGGTAACTCTATGTAACGCAACAAGGGGCGGAAGAAGACACGAGACGAGACGAAAAATGATATCCAGTCGTGTCGTGACAAGAGATCGAACGCCAGAGAGAAAAGACCGTGGCTGGAATCGAATCCGCTGTCGTCCGCTCGCCCCACGTCTCGTGGTGTTGGTGTTGGTGTTGGTGTTGGCCATTAGTCCCACCCATCGTCGAGAGACGGCGAGAAGCGCAGTCGGGATCTCGTCATGGGTGTGCGGATGCGCGATTTGCCAGGATGTTTTTGCGAGGAGGGCTTGGATTGTTCAAACTGACGAACGAGGGCCCCATCGGAAGACTGACTGGCGATGGAGGTACGAAGTCGTGTAGGTAGTGTAGGGGTGAAGAGTACCTAAGCAAAAGTGAGCAGAGAGAAAAACGCACTGGAGACTCAAGACTCAAAAGACTGGGGAGGAGGAGAAGGAGGAGGGGGGTGGAGATGGAAACAAGACTCAAGAGCAGCCAGTAGCCCAGAGTGAGGGGAACAGCCGTGGGCCATCTTGGGCGCATGTACAGGTACAAGCACACTCCCCCTCCTCCTCCTTCGTCTTCTTCGCCATTGCATCGTGCCACTTGCCTCCACGTGAAAAACCACCGGTATGCGCATAAAACCTCAACGTCCAGCAGGCGGCGGGAAAGACACTGGGCAAGGTAGCCCTGCCAGCGCAGCGTGGCTCCAGTGGGGGGTCAGCAAGCTAGCTCTTTCGGGTATAGGGCTATTGGCTCGACCGCAGCGGAGAGGCAAGCGATGATAGGTTAGTGGGCCGGGGGGTCCAGGCCTGGGTTTCTCTCCTCTTTTCTTCCTGGTTACACTCTCTCTCTCACTCTCAGAGAGAGACTCAGTCACTCTCCCTCTTCTCCCCCCGGCTGAGTGTGCCTCTATCACCATGCCCCAGATCCTGGCAAGAAAAGCAGCCAGAGGCCCCAGAGCAAGCGTGGACGGGGAGCGGGGAGAGGGCGTCGCCGTAAAGAGGCCACAAGAGTAGCGGTGAAGAGGATGCTAAACCCAATCAGTGAAGCCATTGTCACCTCCGCCAACCTCGACCGAGCCGCCTCAACGCCACAGTGTCGAGAGAAGACGTCAACTTGTACCTCCAACCGACACTCACAGTCCGTCGCCTGTTACGAACACAGACTTGTCTCGGTGATTGAACGTTGGCTGGATGGGCACGCATAGTGTCGGGGATATAACAGTCGCAGAGAGCGGGATGAGAGTCAATCGGCACTTGGTCTTGATTCAAGTTGTAGAGACATGACTTGTGCTTGCGCCAGTTTGTGCTTGCCGGTGCTAGCATGGTAATCCGAGTCTGATTTTGGATCTCTGTACTGAAGTGAGGGTTGCTGTCATAACTGTTATTGCCTGGACTCTCGTGCGATGCTCGTGTTTGATTACAAAATGCCATCTCTACGACAAGAGCTGCACGGACAAAGACAATGTCAATTCGACTCAGTGCGTTCCGGTCCAGTCAGACAGCGGAGAGCATTTGCCCGTTCAGGTCGTTGAAAAGGCACCATCGCTGACCATCGCTGGCATCAATCCCATGTCATGTCGCGCAGACCGTATGTTCCAGCCCTCAGCCCCGGCCATGTTCCCATTGGACCAGCATCGTCGGCGACGTGGAACTACCCATTGGAACGGTACGGGTACTGTCAGACCTCATCTAACGCTACGCCGTCTGACCTGGCCCTTCCTCGCAGCTGCGGGAGGAACTCCTCGTGCTTCTCATGTAAGGCGGAAAACGGTCCGCTCATGCATGCTTATTGATGAATGAGAGTAGCAGAGGACAATATTCCTGGCAATATGATTTGCATAAGGACTTCTATCCTCAAGGAATCTGCTGCCGGCAGCCTCCACGTCGCCAGGGAAAGTTTACCTGCGATCAAAGGCGGTGCCTCTTGTTATATAGTAGAGCCAAATCGGCTATCCATATACATGGGGGCGAAGCTGCAAAATCTTGACTAAAGCTAAACAATGTATTTGCAGTCGAATAGGAAGAGAGCCTGGACATTCGACGTTGACTTGCGGTCGGTTGAGCTGGCTGGCTAGGTTTGTCTACGTCTCTGAGCAGATTGCGAATTCAATTGCTGAACGCGTTTCCAGATCAGGACAAGAGTCCCGGGACAGGTACTTTGGAGTTGCGGCGTGGTTGTGGGCGTAGGCGTAGACGCAGGCCCAAGTGCGTTGTAGATGGATGGTGTGGCTGCCGTCGACGTGGATTGCTATGATTCGCCCAAATTCGAATTGCTGGGACTCTCTCTCTCTCTCCGTCTGCCTCTCTCTCCCATATCGGCCAAAGAAGCGATGATGGCGCTGAACTGATAAGCCAAATTGCTGTTGGCCCCGGCCGGTGAACCAAAAAAACATCCAGGGAGTACAGACTACATGGCCCCCCTAATTTATCCTGTACGATACGTCCGTATGTAAGTTATGGTATGTTAGCAACTTGACACAAGTGTCCAATGGTGTCTTTGGTGATGGATATTCGCGAAGAGTGCGCATACACGTCAAGAAACTCCTGGGAGACCCTCCGGCCATACCCATCATAGTTTCAACACGACTCTGTGCAAGATGTTGTGTGCTGTGCAGTCTCGAATGATGGGCATATTACTAGAAGCATGACCAATTCCCGAGACCGGAATGTGTCGTGGGCGATGGAACGTTCGCTGTGCCAGTAAAGTCTGTTGATCCGGCTCAACGAAGTCGGTGCGATTTTATTCGATCAACTATTGCATCCCTTGGCGAAAGATAGCACATCGAATGCATTGTCCCTGGGCACCATGGAAAGGCTAGAGAAAGTGAAGCAAGTCGTGGTGCAGAGACGTTTATTGTGACCGACCGATACGTACCCAGTACCTTGCAGAGAGAGAGGGAAAGAGAGTTGACGGGTAGGCTAATGTGGCTCGGAGAAGGTAGACTCTTCCGCCAGATCACTGACACCAGTGAACTAGCTTCAAAAGCGGCAAGTGGTTCGCATGTAGGCAAGCGACGTGGAGGTACGGTATCTCAACTAGATCGCAGCAAGTTCGAACATGTATCCGTACAGAGTAGTTTGCTGTGTGAGTGGGACACTTGGGAAGTGCGCCAATGCATGTGTGGCTACCGTTGCCCACTCTGCGACCGCAACGTAGTTATGGCACCTCATTGCAAAAAAAGGTGACGCTGTTGAAGAGAGAAGTTGAGCACGCTTGGTCTGTGACAAGTACGTAGCAATTGATGCCAACAGCTCTGAACAAGGCTTGGATCTTTGACGTTGTCTCTTCTCAATCGCCGAAATGTCTGGTGCAAAGGCACGGATTCGTTCAAGTCTGCGTCTTTCGTCTCTGTGGTACGCTTGGTAGTAGTTTCGTGACGGAACGAGGCGTCAGCCGCGGACCCGTCTTTCGCCGTGAATGGAGCCGAAATCCAACAAGCCAGGCTGGAGGGGAGTGGAGATGCCCTCAGCGAGCAGCTACCTACCCTTCCTTGCAAGAGAGGAGCTTTCGAGCCTTGGAGCTCTGATCTCTTGGAAGGACATAGTCTCATAGCCTGAGGCCCAAGTTGCATACTGGCAGTCTGTTATTCCTTCTCCAGGAGGACTCTGTTAGGGCTGTTGATGTACGGAGTATCTCGGTACAAGCTAGAAAGGAAGGGCTGGAGGACTGGGGTGCTCTTCGAGAGCACTGAAACGCACCCCTCCCTCCTCAACGTTAGATAAACACGTTGATTGGTCATGTTTTAGAGATGCTTAGCCGCCTTGCAGCTGGGTCATGCAAGTGCTCAAGCCAACATCAGTATCACACACTAATCCCTGTTGAATCTGCCATCTTTGGCATCCAGAATTTTAAGATGTCTGCAGGGTCTGGACGACATGGGGACCAGGGTTCGTCAGCTGCGTTGCTGATTGCTATCGTGCGCAATGCCACCATGCGGATACTGTGCCCCCAGACAAAGTATCCGTAATCCATACGGAGTACATGAAGAAGCTGTCCAAACCCCCACAGCAATGAGGAGATACACAGTAGTGCGCGGGAAGGACGACAAGTCCGCTTCCCAGGATGAGACGTGCGTTCGCGAGCAGAGTTGCAGTCGTCTGCATATTCTGTAGGTATAAACCTCATTTGGTGTAAGTCCCGAATCCAAGTCAGAAGAAAATGCATAGACGTTGTTGAACCCCCATTCGGGACGCCGTTGGTATTTCCTTTGATAACTCCAGGCCGAATCGGGTGGCTCTCGTTATATCCATTGGCTTCAGAACGCCACAACTACTCGCGTTCTACGCCTCAAGCACAGAGCGCCGACGGTAGCAGGACAGGAGCTACGACAAGGTGAGCGGCAAGCGGTCTATCGTTTTGTAACGTTGACCGCAGCTCGTTTCGACGTGCCGAGTCCGATCGAGTAGGAATTGTGAACGTCCGTCTCTGAAGTTTCGTGGCGATACATATGAAGCAACGTCTGTCGTTGTGCTTGACGTCTTGCTGCGACAAAGGGGGGAAAGCGCTCCTCCTGGTTTTTAGTGCTCACAGACATTTTGGCATTGCAACACGGGCAATTTCGTCTAATCAACGGCCTTTAAAAAGCTCGGCAAGGTGTTGCTATTGTATCTGACAGATGATCGAGGGTCAGTGCGATGTCGATGGACCTGCCATTACCATGGCTCGAATACTGTTGTCGCCGCGGTCCCCACCACCAGGTCTCACCCCTCCCATTCGAAGCTGTCGGAGTGAGACAAGGATTCAGAGCAGGTAACAAAGAGCTCTCTCGTCCGAAGAAAAGACCCTGAATGACTGAAAGCCATTGTCAGTGTGGCTGGCCATGTTGCTTATGAGACATGACTGAGGATTCAGGTACTAGGTCTTCCTGTTCTGAACGGGAACTCGTTGCTCTTCTCTTGAGAGCGTGTACACTTCTTTGGGAAAGCCAGTCTGGATCGACCACGAAATCGACCAACGAGGAGGGATGAACCGGCCACGCTCGCAAGCCCCCGATGTGTAGAACAACCGCTCATGACATCTCAAATAGCCAGGCTGATAACCAACAGTGACGATGGCTTCCGTACGTTGATGAAAACGCATTGTGCAGGTGATTAGTCATGGACTGAGCTTCCACCGATACCCGCATTGGCTTAGCTGCTATCCGTATATTGGCAAAAATGTCCCCGGCCTGAATGGCAGCAGAAACGAAACGAAACAGGGGTTGGCTGCTTGTCTCCTCGCAACGAACCGATCACCATGTATCCGCAGTGTATGGCCACAAAGTCTCCGTATTGGTAGTGCCGTTTGGAGTCGGGCGATAATCACGAGCCAGGGGCCAGAGACAAGGAGCAGCACCCGTGACTGGGTTTGCGAGGTGATGTTAAGACCAAATCCATGGTAAGCCCAAAATAACGGCTACCTGTAGTGCACAGCTGCGTGTCGAGCTCAGCACGAGGAACCGCCTCAAATCCGTATAGGTACGCCTTCGGATACAAGCAAGAGAATCATGGTGCCGCTGGAGAAGGCGACCTGGTGGCAGTGACCCTGCAAAGAGTGTAGGTACCTCATGTACGGGCCGCAGCGTACAGGACGGAATCTTGCATTCGATTGCACATGCCCCCCCCCCCCCCCCACAGGCTTCTGCATCACACCGGGCTAGAAGCAACGCCGGAACACACATCCACCGTCCCTCCTAATGCGACGAGCCCCGCACCGGCCTGTCCCGTTGGCATTTGCTATGCGGTTGCGTGCCTTCGTGACTGAGCTTGTCGATTCTCATTGTGTCTCTTTTGAAAAAGATGGTCGTCTTTCGTAATGTCCTTGGTAAAGGGAGAGCCTCCAAGCTAGTTGCTCCGTGACCCATATATCTCTGGAACCCGTATCCGTACTTTCCTCGCACCTCAAAGTCGCACCGAAGTCGGACCGCAACGTAGAGATATATCGTATCTGAAGTGTCGATTCTCCCTAGCAGTCTTGTAGGGCCAGGCAAAGCCTTTGGGGGGCCCCTGCTGCGGGAACTTAGAAGAGCGCCGACCATCTAGCATACCACCTACGTTGACGCAGATGCATGCATTGCCCGACATGCAGCCACGAGGATGAACGACCTCCACCTTGTCGTCCACCTTTGTTAGAGATCTGAACTGGCTCTGTCGTTGATCTTAATCGCGGAGGCGCAGACACGCACGTCAATCGCGTTGTGAGAAGCTCATCCCTGCAGACGAAGAGGATCTGGTCCTCGGCCACTTTTTGGGTAGAGTGGCACCAATCCTTGATTCATGGGACTGTGACGCCCAGGAATAGTCGAGATACTTTGCGTGTGTTCAAGCCGTACGCGGTCGGCAGAAAGCCTTTAACTGCATCCCGAGAATACTTGTCCTTCTTCCACCGCAGGAAGCTGGGCAGGAACTTTGTACGCCTGAGCAAACGGAGGTGTGTTCCATTATCCAGTCTCTTCATGTGCAACATCAACAAGCATGTTGTCAAAGCTGTCATGTATCACAAGCCCCGTCGGCGTTGCGTTGAGAGAACAGCCATCGAGGTTACCAAGCTAAGCATCCGAATCTGCTTGCTGTAGGCGGGCGTGGCAGGACACGAAGATCGAAAGAACTCCGGGCAGCACACAGAGGTCTTTAGCAGGTCCAAAGTTTCCTCATCTGCAGGAATCTTGCATTGCAGAATGGCCCATCGGAACATTTCCCCCATGGCAGGAAGAGCAGTCAGTCCGCCGTTACAATTGATCACCGAATTGGAGGGAGCTGACCGAAGGGCAGCTTGCTTCAATAATGAGAGTGATGCGGCTTGGGACTACTGTAAACTTGACGCCGCTCAGTCACTTTGCGATCCATATTACGGCACGAGGCAGTGGCGCCACAAGCCACCGTGTATGCCTGGCTACAAGCCTTGCAATGCTGCAATTCCCAAGCAACGTCGCGCGTTTGGCGTATTTGCTCACATGAACATCTGTTTCGGCTGGCAACTTCGACATGCTCTCCGACAAGCGCAGAATTGTGGGCCTTCATAAGAGAGTCATACGCCATAGGATTTGAGCTCTCTGGGCATTACTAACGCCGCCGTAAAAGACGACGGGGGTAGTAGGGTAGATTGTGAAGCCATTTCGCGAGCAAGTCTGCTATTCCCATAAGCGACGGCGCAAACGAGGTGATGTGCAAGCCCGACTGCGCGTAATGAAATGGATGGCTTGAACAAAAGAAAGCAAACTCAGAGGCGTCATCAGCATAGGTAGTGAGACCCAAAGCCATGAGAGTTGCGAAAGGCTTATGAAGTTATGAACCACCTTGTTTGAAAAGCCGGTCTATGACTGTCACCTAGCCGCGCCTACCAAAGGGGTTTGGCTGAGCTTGGCTAGGCGCCAGGAGTCTCGACCTTCGGACCTTGCGTGACGAGTTGGACTAGAGGGATAGGCGGGCTTGACGGTGTTTCTTTTTCCAGTCTTGGCAGCCGTTGGTTATTGTCGGCGGCGGCCGTCCGCAAGTCGACCAGTGGTGCGTGTTTTCCGATCCTTACGACAATGTCTCGCCGGCCGAAGGCTAAGACGGCATTTGCGACCAGCTTGCCGCTCTTATTACCCAGGTACTGTCATGGTCAAGGTGGAGGGTTGGATGAAAAGCTCGGGCGCAACGGAGATCCGTGAGAAACTAGCTAGGGCTTGAGTATTCGGAGCAGGGTTGAGTTGCCAGCGTTAGGTAGGATGAGCAAGGTGGCAGGTATCCGTATGTACAAAGTAGACGACTGATGTGGTCCGTGATGCCGATGTTTGCTCGAGGTGGTTGGGAGCGACCCGGCACCGGAGCTTTGGAGGGAACAAGTGTCTCCGTACACGTACTCGAGGCTCCAGCAGGGTTGAGGGTAGTCCGCTCGCCTGGGTCTGGCCATGACGGGACTCGAGGGTCCGGATGCGCCAGAAAAAAAGTGTGAGGGCAATTTGGAGGACGGGAGCCAGAGACAAACCAGCCCATGCTGGGAAGAGCAGGCGGTTCGAGGTTGATGCAGTCGAAGGCGTGCGTCCGCAGATGTCTCGCTGTGGAAACAAACAACAGTACTCCATCATTCCAAGTTATCTGCCTACTTTGTAGGTTGAAGCAGACCAAGACCACAGCTCATCTTTATTGTGTGGAAGCACGATGCATTTGTGCAACGGGTGGCCCCGAGTGCATTCCCCGGGAAGCTCGGGAAGACATTGAATGAGGCTCGCCAACGTGCCTGGCAGCTCTGGTGACTGATCTTCATTTGAGTTGAGCCCTGGAACGCATGCCTGCCTTGCTGCGTCCAGGGGAAGGTAACCGCACACAGGTCGCTGCAAATTTCCGAGTAGAGAGACTCGGGTCGATGAGGACAGAATGTCGAAGAGCGAAGGGACCCCGGCCGTCTCAAGTTCTTGCAGCGAATTGGCGGAGAGAGAGGTATCTTGGCTCGATTCTCTGGCAATTGGCACAAGCCCAGCGACTCTGTCAGTCTGGCTGTCGCTGTGGTTGTCGTTGTGCGCGTTGCGCACCATAGACCGCTCAGGAGGCAGAGACGGTGACGGTGACGGGCGATTCGAAGAGGCAAGGTGAGGCCCCTTCAATCGGCAGAAGAGCGTGGAGGCGTGCGATAGGTTGGAGAGGGGTCGGTAGGCATGAGACACTGAAACGATGAGAAAAAAGAAATGTGGTTGATGAACTGGCCGGCTGAATGCTAATGCTGTCGGGACGTCGCTACCTACTTTGCTCACAATCTGCACCCGTAAGGTAGGTAGTCCGCTCTGGATCAGGAAGTACAGGGAGTGGACTGCCTTACCCTTGACAAGTCCGAATTGAAGGACCTCGGGATGTGAATGTCTTTACGGAGTGCAGAGTACGTATTGGTAGGTATAGAGCATCAGGATTTCGAAGTAGACATCGAAGTAGTCAGTCTGTCCTCCGCCAGTGAGCAGGGCACTTGCCTGAGATGCAGTTAAGGGATCTTATCTGGGGGAGATGGCGACAGCACCAATGTACCAAGGATATCCTCGAGACGTTGACGGGCACCTGCTTACGATAGCGGGCTTTCTTATGATACCTCAACCTACCCAACCATGACAGGCAGGAGGTATATTCTGTGGTACTACGTGGGAGGGACATGGATTGTCGACGATTCCTTCCTGGGCTGGATGGACCTGAAGGTCGACCATGTCACGAATGGAAACTTGAGCGAGATTGTAGGCAAGACCGGCCGCGTTGGGAACCTCAGGCAAAGAGTCTCATCACATCTTGGGCCGGGGAAGAAGGAGGTGGATTTGCGTGCTTGCCGAAGACTCAAGGATTTTCGGGTCTCTTAAGTTGCCCTTCCTTCCTCAGAAATCTATGTAGCAAGAAGTAAAGGGAAAGTATGCAGTAAGTACGGAACACGAGGATGCCGTTTTAAACTCGATACCAGTACCATACCTTTTCCCTACCTATATCTTACCTGACGCATGTAAAGTGCGACCACAAACAATATCTTACGTAATTAACTACAATTCTAATGCATCTTACAGTCCGATCACGATAACAACATGTCGAACAAATAACAGGAAATGGCCGCCGACGCATGTTACGCATGGAACTGAGCAAATTGGAAGGTTATGAATGATGATAGTCGTCTATCAGCGAAAGAGATTCGGCCCGCAACTGCCTTCCTAGATAAGGTGTTGGAAGGGAAGGTGAGGTACGGACATTATATCCGTGAAGTCGGCTTTCTTTCCCACAAACCGTTCATGGTTCTTCCTGCCGTGGTGTCCACCACTTGTTGCTCCAAAGGACCAATTTGGAAGTTGCAGCGCCCACCTACCAGCCACCACCTTGCCGCGATTGTGACGGGGACTTCTGCCCATGTTGATTTTCTATACCCTAGTCATCATCCACTCTTGCTCCGCAAAGGGAAAGCAGGGCAAGGCACATAGGGTTCGCAGCGGGGCCGGCGCGGAGAAGGCACTGGACAGGTTCACCAAGTCAAATCGGCAGGGCAGGCATGGGAGGGCGGAAAACAAGCAAGCAAGCAAGCAATTGAGCAAGCAGCACGCACGTCGCACGCCGCACGCCGCACACGAGGGACAGATGAGCAAAGCGGGTTTCCTGCGAGATGTGGAAACGCAAGGCAAGGCAAAGCAAAGCAAAGCAAAGCAAGGCAAGGCAAGACAAGACAAGACGCGACAGAATCCGCTGACCCAGACCTGATCAGACCAACCAGCCAGCCAGCCTGATTCTCTCCCCAGTCAGCAGCCCGGCGACAACGATGACAGACCTGTGGAGAGTCAGCATCAGCATCCCTACGGATACTCCGTATGAATACGTACATGGAGAGAGACGACAACAGCAAGGTCAGCCAAGATAGCGTTACAAGATCTGCCTTTTGACATGCGCATGGCCCTCTGCCGCACAGTGCAGCAACGTCTGTGCTTTCGAGCACCATTGTCGGGAACCCCCCAGCCAGCCCAGCGCACTAAGATCAGAGATGCATCAAGCGGCAAGCCAATCCTTAACCCTTGGTCTAAACAGACGAGGGAGCACGGGAGGACCAACTGCGGTATGGTCACATACCCCCAAATCGGCCCAGTGTCGTTTTTATATACTCTTACCGAGTGCTAATAGTGTAGGCTCGGCAATCGACAGCGAACGCCCCCCTTCTATGTCTCCTGGTTCGCTGCGCGCTGCGCTAAACCGACGGCGTTGTGCTTGGAGTCCATCAGAAGCGTCGAGAAGACGACGATGCGCTATTGGCTTGCTTCTTCTTGTTCTTCCTTCGCCGCTCGCTCTCGTCTTTTTTTATCCCTTGCCTCGGGTCCTAGACTTGCAACGGTGCTTCTACCGGTAGTGAGGCCATTGTTGTCAACCATTTGCTATTGAGGCTCTTGTCTTGCTGACCTTTGATACCGGGACTTTGAGCAATAGCCGCTTGCTACACTGCCTCACCTAACCTCCCCTAACCATGAAGAAACTGCGCCGCTCTGAGATGATGGCCTTGGCCGCCGCCAATGGCACATGGACCGTACCTTGGTGTCGGGTACGATTAACTTTTCCTTCGAAGCAATGGACACCCGAACCCTACATGCGCCGACCGGATGACATGACACTTTTGTTGGAACGGCAGTACCTTGCGACGGAACTCAAGTCCGGGACAAAACAGGCCCTGGAGATGCCGTGCTTCATTGGAAGCTGCGGCGGAAACATCCAACATCCAAACGCACAGTCCACTGTCTGCCCGACGGCCTTCGAGGTTCGGTCGAACAACAAAGGTCACAACAATGACACGGCCAATGGGTCAAGGAGAGTACAAGAGGCAACGCCAAGTCCGAGGCCCAAGGGTAGGCAGATAGAATGGATGGATCGAGGAGCACGGCCGGGACACTGTGCCAACCACCGTTAAGCCCGCCTTATTACAATGTTGTCAACCGCGGTTGCCGCTGCGGCCACCATCTCCATCTGCTGAACCGCTCGGGTCGCCTTACTAATTTGCCGGACTTTACTGCAGCCTCTATCATCTTGGTTTGACCGTCTGGTCCGAGTGATGTGAGTTATACCCGGTCTTGTTCGTTGTTGAGGAAATGGATGACACCAAAGCCTAGGTCTGGGCTTGAAGTCTAGCACACTCTACTCTCTGTCTCGAACAAGACGACACTGACGAGTTGCGGGGCTCTAGCGGCGGTGCGCTGAGTGACTGGCAATGGACATTGGTCACAGCGTCGCTGGAGACTTGGAACCGACGACCTCCGTCCACATGCCCGGGGCTGTGTCGGGGTTGAAGAACGATTCGAAAACAGCCAGCATTGCCACGGAGAGAAATTAACTACGGAGTACAGGATACGCATCAATGAGACAAGTTGACCAGCGGGCAGAAGCGATCAGTGCTTTTGGATCTTCAGATCGGTCCCCTGGAAACTGAAAAGACCTTGAACTTGGGTTTCCAACCAAAAGCTGACAGTTTCTTGATTTGCCATGCTCTGTGTGTTTGTGCAGAGAGAGAAACTCGAGACGCCACTCTTCAAATCACAAAAGGACGAGAAAGAAAAGACGAAACAACACGAGTATCGGCGCAATGGCGACGGCCCAGAGACATGAGAATCGCCATTCGTCTCTGGCCGACGTCACTTGGACTTGGAAAGAGCATTTGATACGCACTCTTTGGACTATGGCACATAGATTCAAGGGCTCCAGATCGGGCCCACTCCACTTCTTCCCATCTCTGTCGAGGCTCGTCTCTCATCACCCAAGTCCCCGCACAAGGGCAGGCTCAGTCGACGTCCCGTCGGGATAGTGATACTGGATTCAAGCGAGATACAGATTGTGTCTGGTTTCGTTTCGATGCTTGTGCAAGTTACACACCGTTCATCCAGTGCTGCTTGCTCTCTGTTCGCCGGGGGATAAGTTGCTCTGGTCTCATGGATCCGTAGCGTGGGAACAGTAGGGTCGGTCGAGGTTGTTTGGCACAGAGCAGCCAACGTCGACGCCCACATTCTGCTCGGTCGCAGTTGCGGTCGGGTGAGGTACGATGTTCGCACAGGTATTGGTACCTCGTCTCGTGAGAGTCCTTGGGCTTGGAATAGGCCCTAGGCCTGGCGGGCTTCCTTGCCAATGCAAAGCCCTGGCATTATCTACAGTGGCCTGCTTGATTGCGTTGAACTGCGTTTACCTGCGTAGTCTGGACATTGTCTAGATGGGAATCCATCATTGCCCGTACGCCTGCTCCTTCACGTTGTCCGTCCGCCTCAGAGTGTCTAGGCCCGGTGTGTTGAGTATTCCTTCTGAAAGGCCGACAGACCGACCGCGACAGACTGGGGCTTGAACTCAGGCCATGGGCCACCCTGGTCAAGGACAACAGACCCCTCTCTTCCTGGTGTCACCCTACTCTGACCACGCCCCTCGAGCGACGACACTAGGCCCCAGGAAACGACAACGAAGCCCACGTTCAACGAGGCCCTCGACGCCATTACTCCCGTGGCACGCCCCCCCTTCCCGATTCTTGTCGCTGTCCTTCCCTACACCCACCGAACGGCGACGGTTAGCTTAGCCTGGCCGTACCACCCTTCCAGGGCTCGGGTAGCTGGCTGAGAATACCTACTCTCTGCGCCCCAGCCCGACCCAATGGTCAAGGCCGAAGAAGAGACGAAAAAGAGAGGTGAGTGCCGGCGGTAGAGTCGCTTACCGACGCGGCCACGGATCAACCTGACAGAGCGAGTCAGAGTGAGAGAGAGATGGAGCTTGGGGCTTGGAGCTGGTACTTGGAGGGAGGAACAGGTTTCGAGGTGCGGACGCAGAAGCAGAGTAAAAAGGCCCGCTGCCAGCTAAGGCAAGGTACGGAAAGGCAATGTGAGGTGAGGTGATGGATGTGCTGTTGAGGTTCGCATTCCCACATGGATAGAGAGGAAGGCAAGACAGGGCAAAACGCAGTAAGCGTACCGGCACCGCACGCTGTATCCGTACCCCGTACGGCTTGTTGGCAGAGAAAGAGAGAGAGAGAGAGAGAGACTGAGCGGAGTCTCTAGGCACTTGTGAACACAAGGTACTCCGTACGAGTCAATATCCCCACTTTTCCCTAAGGCTTCTTCTCGTTCGCTCCATCCAGAAGCTGAGGATAAGTCGACAGACTGGGGGAACATTGTCAGTTCCGTCCCGTCCACATACGAGAAACAGAGCCCACACCTGGGACTTGGAGTCGGGAAAAAGAAAAGATAAACAGCAAGAAAGATACGGTACCAATGACAGGCCGTATGAGCGACCAGAGGAAGGACCAGGACCATGCTGCGTACACGAGACCCCGAAGGAGTCGTAGGTACCGACTACATTGCATCCCAAAGTGCACGTCCCATGCCATTAACAGTACTTCGTAGACAGGCGTTGCGAAATAGACATTGAGGCAAAAGAAAAATAAACGTAAAGGGAGAAAGCAGTTGAAGGAGCTGACGATGGTTGGGTACCGAGACAAGGAACATGGACAGCGCAGTACGTCCGTACCTTACCTTGGTTCCAGAGACGGATCGAGGTTAAGCTCCCAGCTCCATGAAATTGAATGCGAATACCGGTACACTCAAGGTAGGCAAGGGAAGAAGGCTCCTTGGGTAGTAGGGTCCATGATTCTGCTGTCTGCTCGCTCCTCTGGACTTTGGAGCGCGTGTGCGTTGGCTGTTGGCTGTATGTGCCTCCATGTGTGCCGTGGATGCGTGTGTGTCAGTGTCCAGTGTGTGTGTGTGTATGTGTGTGTGTGGCTTCGTCGTCGACGACCGAAGTACCGGGATACTTCGCGCACCTCAACTTTCGCTCATCTGTCCGCCGATACTTTACCTTACCGGGTGGGAAGAAAAAAGCTGGATACGTATCTTTTCCGCCAGTCGTCGCTCTAACTCGGTTTTTTCTTCTTCTCTTCCTTCTCGCACCCCCCCACCTCACCCCCCTTCTCCGCTCTTCATCCTCCTCCCCTCCTTCTCCTCTTCTCCTCCCATCTAGCATCCCATTCAATCCCTTCCCCCCCATCCATCCCACTTGGTAGAGACCCCCCGGTCTCCGTACCACGGTACTTTCGGCCTTATCCTCGCCCTCCAGCTTGCTCGTCCTTCACCCTCCCCCAAAGACCCCCTCATCTGCGACCCCCGGTCGGCCGGACTGCCCACTTAGCAGCAGCACTGAACGGCCAAACCCACCAGTCTCTGAGCTCCTCCGGGGAGGGGGGGCAGGCCCTTGGCCTGTGCCATTTTCTCAACCCAAGCCCACCTACCTTGTCGAACGCCGCTACCAGAGTCCGTATCTTTTGCCCGTGAGATACCTCAGTCCTCGCCGCTATACTTGCCCTCCCAGCACAGCGTCGCGCTACCTGGCTCCGTACGCAAGTATGGTACGGAGTACGGGCCAGACAGTTCACAGTAGACAGACAGATAGACAAATGGGCCAAAGAAAGCAAGCGAGCGGGCAAAAGAGAGCGCGAGAGAGAGAGACAGAGACAGAGAGAACCCTACCGCTCTTCTAGTAGACACACAGTACCTACCTGCGAAATATGGCCTAACAGTACCTGGTCCTTCTGCCTCTCCGCCTCTCTGCACCTCTCGCTCTGAGTCTCTGGGTCCTGGAGTCTGCGCTCGCTCTGCTTCGACCTCCCGGTGCCCCATGGACCCTGCCCCATGCTCTTGAGCTCTGCCATGTCCGTACCGCTACCGCCGTACCACACCAGCATCGACCAAAGTGCGGATACCGCAGTACCCCAGTAAGGTACCTTTACCCTCAACCCTCAATCCTCAACCCGCACCTGCACCTTGCACTTGCGCCGGCCGGGGTGGGCGTGGACATGGGCCAGAGGGCGTGTGTGGTGTGGATTGTGGATGGATGGACTTCGACCTGCCTCCTCTTCTTTTCTCACCACCAAAAACAAAACCTTCCCACGCCCGTCTTCTTTCTTTTCTTTCTACCTCTCACGACTCCACCAACCACCTCCAATATTCCACTCAGGATAGCCAAAGAGGCGAGGACGGTAAGTCAGAACTTCTTCTACACTTCCACTGCCTCTTCTACCCTCTTCTTCCACCTCCTCACCTCACCTCAACCCGCTTAACCTCCAACTACCCTTCTCATTCCTCTGCTGCACCTCCTACTGCACACCCGCCCCCATTCCTATATACGCCAAACTCGTAGCTAATGTACCTGCATTAGAAGAGTTGGGCGAGCTCGACGAAGAAAAAAAAAAAGAGAAGCAAATATCAAGGAAGACCAAGACGATTCACCTGCTCTCCTCGAGTGTTTGTGTGCTGTGTCTGGTACCTGCCTGAATAGAGACCTCCAAACAAACGGCCCTCCACCGCTTGTTACTCAGCCCCGATTTCAGAAGAAAAAGGGCATTCCCTCGCTTCGCATCGTCACCGTCCTCGGCTCCATTCGTGCAACCCGCATTGCAATTTCGAGAGACTCACCCCAAGTCTCCTCTTCTGCCACCTCGACAAACGTCTTCTCCATCAGTTAGCCTGCAACCTAAGGCTTACGACCGCCAATTCGACAAGACACCGCAGCTACCAAATCGCCGCCTCCGCCATCTCCATCAAACCTCAGATGCTACGAAGATAGAATCTCCTGATTTTTAACGACTTCTTACGACGACCACGACCGTCCTGATCTGTTTCTTTTTTTCAAAAGAACCATTGTGTTGTACGGATTATTCCGTCCATACTTTGTAGCACCGTCACCGCTGGAAGCAACTGCAGTCTCTGCGCCGCCGAGCCACGTCCGCTGCTTCCAATTGCCCTTGCTCCAAGCTTCTTCGGATATCTAGTCCGGCACCACGACAAGACTCCTCGAAAGAGAATTGCTTTCTCTTTCCGCACGTCTGACATCCTGCTGCTGTCGTAGTTTCGAGGCTCGCTAGGCGAACCCGGACTTTACTGATCTCTGGTGTTTGGTGGTAGAACCTTCGGGGCAACAACCGTGAAACTGGATTTACCGTCGATTTCTTCAGTGCAAACCCGGGGACCGACCGACGTGTCGTATTACAACGCTCACCCGGCTCAGAGGCCGTCGTACATGAACAGCGAGAGAGTGCCGTCTCTTCCATTGCCCAACCTGCATCAGGCGTACTCATCGGGTACCTCGTCACCCCGGGTCAGCTCAATCGGCTCCGCTTCAAGCTCTCACGCAGGCTCGCAGTCGTCCTTCACGTCGGCCGCATCCTCCCACGGACCCAAGACACCTTCTCCCACTCTGCCCATCAACGCGGCGATTCCTGGATCTTCCGGTCAGCCAATTGGTGGTTACGAGCATTACCCCGCCATGAATCAACCTGCAGCAGACATGTACTATCAGCAACATATTTCTGCCGGTCAAGCGCCACCGCCCCAGACCGTGACGTCCGGCGCAATGTCTTACCACTCCCAGCCACCGCCGTTACAGCCAAGCCATCTGCCTCAATATCAGCAGCAGACTCAATACGGCCAGCCGTACGGTTATGCCAATGGCTTGACTTCGCCTCAAAGCGCTCCCGTGAACAACGGAATGGGTGGACAGAACGTGCTGCCTCTCCCAGGTGTCAACCCTGGAGGTTTCCAGGGTTTCGACACCACTGGCCAAGTCGCCCCTCCCGGTATGAAACCCAGAGTCACGGCCACTTTGTGGGAGGATGAAGGCAGCCTGTGCTTCCAGGTTGAGGCACGAGGCATCTGTGTTGCGCGTCGCGAGGGTAAGTTCGATTGGCATATCCAATGGTCGCCGAAGCATGCTAACATGCACACTAGATAATCACATGATCAATGGCACCAAGCTATTGAACGTCGCGGGTATGACCCGCGGTCGCCGCGATGGAATTCTCAAGAGCGAGAAAGTGAGACACGTCGTAAAGATTGGCCCTATGCACCTTAAGGGTGTCTGGTGAGTTTCATGTGCCCCAAGACAAATCCGGCCGGGCTAGGTCTAACGTGAAGAAAAATAACAGGATCCCTTTTGAGAGAGCTTTGGACTTTGCAAACAAGGAGAAGATCACCGAACTGCTCTATCCCCTCTTCGTCCACAACATTGGCGCTCTGCTCTACCACCCCACGAACCAGACTCGCACCAACCAAGTCATGGCTGCTGCTGAACGCCGTAAGGCAGAACAGAGCCAGATGCGCGGTGCCCCTCAGAATGGCGCCCCTGGGCTGCCGTCTATTCAACAGCACCATCATCACTCTATGGGACTGCCTGGACCTCAGCAACCACTGCCGTCCCATGCTAACATGGGCCGTCCCACTCTCGACCGCGCCCACACGTTTCCTACTCCCCCGACTAGCGCTTCTAGCGTAATGGGTGGCAGCATGGGCGCCTCAGACAACGGATTCCAGTGGGCTCAATCTCAAGGAATGACCAACGCGCAGCCCCAGAACCCCATGTCTATTGACACTGGCCTCAGCAATGCCCGTTCCATGCCGGCAACTCCTGCCTCCACACCGCCTGGCTCCACCATTCAGAACATGCAGCCCTATCAGACCGGCACACAGCAATACGACAGCTCGAGGGCCATGTACAACCAGTCTTCTCAGCAGTCCCCTTACCAAACCAGCCAGGGCTCGCAAGATCGCTCCGTATACGGCCAGAACGACCCATACGCTAAGAGCGATATGGGTCCTCCGTCAGCACGGCCCGCTGCAACGAGCGCCACCCAGGATCAGAAGCCCTCAAACGGCATCATGCATCCTGATTCCAATGCTTCTCAGCCTGCGGGCGAGGAAGAGGCAGACCACGAGCACGACGCCGAGTACACCCACGACAGCGGCGCCTACGATGCCAATCGCGGATCGTACAACTACTCGGCTCCTCCCGTTGGATCCCTTGCCACCGAACACCAACACCTCTCTCCTGAGATGACGGGTTCGCCCAACCACCCTCCTGCATCAGGCCGTGCTACTCCCCGTACCGCCACTGCACCTCAGCCCTACTACTCCCAGCAGGCCGGCTACAGCACGCCTCCGCGTGTCGCTCAGCAATCTTCAAGCAACCTCTTTAATGTAATCACCGACCGCAATTCTGCAGCTGCTGGCGGTAACAATGTTTACCAGACCCAGTCCGACATGAACTCCATGCCCAACGGGTACCCCTCACAGATGAACGGTGCCTCGAGTGGCATCAAGCGTGGTCGCGATGATGACGACGACCTGCAGCGTCCGTTGAGCGGTGGCAGCATGGACATGAAGCGCAGAAAGACGCTCATGAACTCGGCTGTTCCCACGTATGACACCATGGCTCGCGCTCCTCCCGTTATGGCTCAACAGCAGCAAGGAAGATAGTGGCGGCGACATTTGTGGGCCGGCCATACTCTATCAGCCCTGAACCTCAGTCACTTCATTGGTGGGCGTTGTGGCGACATTTGGTTTGAGGCATAATGATAAACTGATTATGATCCTGAAGCCTCGAGTGCGAGGCCTCTTGACATTCTTTGCACACCAATTTTCTTATTTGTCTTTTTATTCGCGAGACGACTTTTCGGCATCGAGAACCCATTGGAGACGACGCTGACGAGCTGACGAATTCTCATTCCCTGTTTTTTAAACGCCCATCACGGCTGTAGATGCTGATGAATGACGCCTTGCATGGGGGAGGACGTAATCCTAAAGACTCGACCATTCTCCTTTTTTCCGGATCTTCGGGACAACATACACGAAAGAGCACGGTGGGGTTGGAAACTACGGCCTGTTGGCCCGTTATGACACTCGGGCAATGCGGCATGCGAACACCACATCGGAGGACGGACCATCAACATCACCGACATCTTTTCCTTTGCTTTGGTTTCGAATACAGTGGAGGATCATCTGGCGCTGAAATGTGTCAGAGATGGGGGATTAGGATGATGACCTTATGACGATTGTTCCTTTCACAAAAGTGTGAGACGTGTGTTGGAAACTGTCTCTTTAGGTAATGACTTGACGAATGGAAATAAAAAAAGCTGTTGCTGCTTCAAAATTACGGGCCTTGTAAACCGTGAAGTTGTGATGTTGAAGGCAATCTCTTCTTCTTGATAGTTGGACGGGCAGAGCACTTCAGGCCAAGTGTGAGAACCAATCTGACTGGCGATTGGGTTATGGTTTTGGCTAGTGTTGATGTCGGTCGGTCTCACGGATATACAAATCGTCTCGATATCGATTGACTTCAACGACCTGGGTTCTCAACTATCCAATACGGGTTTAATGTTGGAAATGAGAACAGGACTAAGACTTACTCGACTAGGTGATAATTCAGATCCCGTTCCAGGTTTATTCGAGCAGAGCTGGAGATCAGTGCACATATTGGTTGGCCAAAGTAACACAAAAATATCAAACTTAATGTGTATAAAATAATTGACAATCGCCTTACTTCTATCTACCTCAGCCCAGATGTTGGTGGTATTCAACTGGCCGATGTAAGGTATCTAAGATGGGAGGGCTCGCTCGCCAGTAAGGCAAATACCCCAGGGCTCCCGTCGGCTAAAACCCGGACCGCCTGCCCTTCCGCTAAGGTAGCGCTAAGGCACCTTGACCACCTGCGCGTCGGGGGTAGGTACCTCGCTCGAGCTGCCTTACAGCTCAAATATTATTCTGCGGCTCAACTCGAGCTTGGAGCGACAATCCTGTCTTCAACTCCCACTTTTAGTTGCGGCACTACCACTACTTTGAACAGCTACAGAACTTGGAGACGAAGCATTGGCATCGAATATTCAAATTGATGGCCGCAAGGGCGCAGACATAG